TATGAATTATATGCTTCACCTGCAAATCTTGCAATGAGTCTGGTCCTCGCGAAACACTGGCTTTCATGCAATGTGTATTGCCTCTTGATAGCCACATGTCAACTGAAATGGTTCCTTGCTCCTGTACCTTAATACTTGGAGATGGTGTTTCAGCCATAAGATCTTAAATGAAGCTAGAGACATTGGTCGGTATTGCTCGATAAAATGCTTTTTTACTAGATCTTGCATTCTTGCAACCACATCTTGTTTCTTTCTTTTCAAAGAGATTAAGTTCACACCAATCAAGATACAACACCCGGACGTGGATCATATATCTATCAGACAACCAGCCCAGTCAGCATCACAATCTCTCACAGTGTTGCTATTGTTGGGGTATCTATGAACAATCTCCCACTTGGAGGCTCGAACAACGCCCCTTAGTCTTCATCATCTGTACCTCTTGTAATCCTCATTTTCCACTAGTTGCAGCAGCCCTCTCTTCAGTTATCTGAAGACCCGTTGAAGCTCCCACTCAGCTTCAACTCATCAGTCACAACCCGTGACTCGTTCTCTTTCTCTGCTAGCTCCGAGTGTGACACATCTATCACTCTCCTGGCTTCTAAGGCAAACTGAGAACCTACATTCTCCAAACCAAGCAAATAGGTAACAGGAGAAACTTTCAACACCAGAATACTAGTTTTCCTAACCCACTGTCGGATTGGGACTGAAGCACGACCTGTGCTCCCACTGTCACAAAATTCCCTGACTGGTTGAACCTTCCGAGCTAGTTCATCCTGAATCTGTACTCTTTCTCAGAGTTTTTCCTTTGCAAAGGTGACCCTCTTTAGCACACGAGATTCTTTGAACCGGACCTTTTCTTTTACCAGAACTGGACTTGCTCCTTCTGGAGGTATCTCGACCATATATAACGAACCCCTTTTCTTGCCACGAGCAACAACAAGATTTCCTTTGACCACCTTCCACTGTCCACCACCAAATTTAACATCAAGACCCGAATCATCCAACTGCCCAACTGAGATAAGCATCCTCTTCAAGCTTGGAATGACTCTGACGTTTTTCAAAGTCCAAGTGGCTCCAACTGAAGTTTTCAAGTCAATATCCCCCATGCCCG